GGCAACAGCAGAAAAGGACACTCATAAATGACAGACGATCAAGGAGCGGTTCCATGCTAACCCGCAAGCTAGTCAAGGGACATAAGGATAAAGATAACATCAACCATCAAACTTGCTCCTTGTTCATAACGAACAATATTCACAAGCAGAGTGCACTGTCAGTGGGCCGCTGTTGCAACACCGATACAGTACTATACTAACCAACAAGTCACGAGTTTGGAACCTTCTTTTCGATAGTTACACCCACCCCTATTGTCAGTTCACGGGCGTTTCACAATGTTCCACTTGCACTCAGATTTACAGCAAAACGTGGAGAACATTTACAGCCAGAGCCAATGGCCATAAGACCTACGCCTGAATAAGATGATACACACAGAGAAAACTATCCCCACTTACAGCCAAACCATCCCCCCCCTCCCCCAAGGAGGCCAGAAATCTAGTACTTCAGCAAAACATTTTAGTCCCAGGCTTGCCCCCAAGTTGGCCGCAATGTCAACTTACATCGGTACAGAATGGGGCATATTTTGAGCTCAAGGGGTCTAGCTCACATCCTGTTAAACTACCATCTTTGCGTCTCCACATCCGCCACAGGTCCATCGTTCCACGGTCTTCCTCACTCAGACATCTTTCTCAGTACTCTCGCTATGTCTGCCAAAATTGTGCTGAGTCACCCGAGTGCATGCCTCTTTTTCTTGCATGACCAGCGCCTGTGTGTCCGAACAACGGGCAACGGGGGCCATTACATTCCGTTGTACCCCGTTGAATCGCTGCAGGGGCCCCATTGAATCCCGGTTAACGGAAAAATGGGGGTCTCCCGTTGAATCCAAAAAAACGGGATGGGCGCTTTGGGCCTCGCACACGTGGCCCTACGCGCCCAAACACTGAAAACAGGAAAACAAAAAAAAAACAATTGACCCCTATTAACAGTGTGGGGTGGCCAAACATGCCCCTCCCTCCCAAATATCAAACTGCAAGAGGGAAAAAAGTAGGGGCCACCCCACACCCCAACACTGTGAGCACATGTGGGTGCATGTGGGTGTGCGTCCCTTTTTTTTTTTTTTTTTTTTTTTACAAATGCTCCAATCTATTCGTCCATTCTCATTTCCGAAGGGCCCATACAGATTAGCAAGGAGCTCTCGTGGAGCAGAGATGGACATTAAACTTGTAGACTGCTTGTGTGGGACGAGAATATATAGTCCGGATTCAAATTCAGGTCTGTGGCACTCTGTGCATCACAGTTATGGGTCACTAATTGACTGTTTTCTCGCTTTTCTTGAAAACCCTACCAGAGTGGCCCGGGGTCACTTGCCCGGCTGGGCCAAAAAGATAAAATATATATATATCGTCACAAATAGAACTGCCCGGTAAACCGTAGGCAGAGAGAGAGAAGAGGACAACAAACGAGGGGCTGTGACAATATTTATATATATATTTTAATTTTATTTTATACTTCAAATTTGGTAAAGAATTTTGATGCGAGCCTGAGGCAAAAGTTGTTTAGTTTATTTTTCTACATAACATAGTATTTTTTCAGATTTTTTGAATTTTGTTTTTTTTTGCTGGGACCTTCCCTTGTCCTTGCACGGGCTGGCCACCCGGGCGGCCCGGCTGGTAGCCTAATTGTTTTCCCGTTTTTCTTTTGTTTTCTCATTTTTCTTTTGTTTTTTTCTCGTTTTTCTTTTCTTAGGAATACGTGCAGTCGCCCTAAGGGCCTCTACTCGCCACATGCACAAAAGACAAAACATATGGCGGCCTATTATTCCACGTTCTAGCAGAAGATTCATTCTAATTCTGCACATTTGCAGTGGCCCAAAGGGCCTCTACTCACCATATGCACAAAAGACAAAACATATGGCGGCGTATTATTCCACATTTTAGCAGAAGATCCTCGGTGATTGCTTTATTATTATTTTTTTTTAAAGCCCAGGGTATTGTAAAGGCCAAGGACCAGACCCGCGGTGATTGCTGGTAGCAGCAGCCAACGGTTGTCCTGACAGGACATGCCACCTACCCCACCCATCCCCACGTTAATACTCCCAGCGCACTCCCTGTCCCTACTATCCTACCTCAGTGTGACCAGCACTCAGGACCATCATCCTACCAGTATTGAGGGCAACTTCGTTTTTTTTTTTGAAAGCCCAGGGTGTTGTAGAAGCCAGGGACCGGACCCGCGGTGATTGCTGGTAGCAGCACCCAATGGTTGTCCTGACAGGACAGGCCACCTACTCCACCCATCCCCACGTTCATACTCCCAGCGCACCCCCTGTCCTTACTCTCCTACCTCAGTGTGACCAGCACTCAGGACCCTCACCCTACCAGTATTGAGGGCAACTTGGACCAGACAGCAGTGACAAGCACCAGGGCTGGGCCAACCTCCCAGCCTTAATGGAAGCGGAAGCGGACGAACCTTGCCGTACAGGAACTTCAGACGCCAGGCTCTTGCAATCTTCTAGGCCCGATTCAGAGAGTCTGCCCAGCAGGATTACCTAAGCAAGGCAGGCCAGCGCCCGCAGACACATCCTACTGTCCTTCCCCTAGCTTACCCAAGGCTAGGCGGAACTCAGACTAGTCGGAGAGTCTGTGTGTGTGTGTTTATGTGTTTGTGTGTGTTGTGTGTCTGTCTGACTGTGTCTGTGTGTCTGTGTGTCTGTGTGTCTGTGTCTGTGTGTGTGTGCGTGTCTTTTTTTCCTTTTTTTGTTTGTTTTTTATGGTTTTTGCAAGGAAAATAAGCAACAGCGAGATGACAAATCCAGATTACACCATCACATTGAAAGCCAGATAGTCACACTGTGTCCAGAGAGCACCATTGCACCAATAATACACCAATGGAGGTTCATAGTACTGAAAACCAAGGTCAAGGAGAGCTTTCTCTCTCCGCCAACACAAGAGTCCAGTCCCTTCACACTCCTACTTGGCGCTCAGCGCCCAGCCTACTCCTACACAGCTACGATCGGCCTATTAATAGACAATGCAACTGTTGACATCAGCGGCAACCCGAAGTACTTGAAGATGTCGCCCAAATGCAGACCATCGCCAATACAAGGTATGTGCCCTCACACCATCATCATCATCATCATCCTTCGCCCTTCCCTGACTTTACACCCACGTCTCCCTTCCTTACACCCGAAGACCACTCATGCGCCTCACTGTAGTCCAAGCCCACCAGCTATGATGGCTGGGCTATGGCGCTGCTGAGGCCAGCGCCCTTCTTCCCTGCACGACCGCACGTGCTGCACCTCGCCTCTCAGCGCCAGCAGCAGCCCACGAGCATTTGCTCCAGCAGCGCTGCCGCTAGCATGCGAGTGCCTGAATGAGGCTGCCTGGGGAGAGCTCT